CACCTGAGAGCTGGACAGAGAGATGTACAAGGGCTCTGCATCTCCCCACCCAGCTCTTAGCAACCAGGGATGCTCTTGCCAGCGTCTCTGTTTGCCAGGAGTTCGGTGGGACAGGTTGCTGGATGGGGAGATGTTTATGGCACTTACACATCTCCCTGCCCAGCTCTTAGCAATCTGGGACGCTCTTGCCAGCGTCCTGCCGAGCTCCAGGCAACCAGCGACATCACTGGTTGCCAGGAGCTCAGCAGGACACTGGCAAGAGTGTCCCAGGTTCATAAGAGCTAGGTGAGAAGATGTGTATGGCCCTTACACATCTCCCTGCCTAGCTCATAGCAACCTGGGACACTCTGACCGAATAGGGGGTGGCAGACACAGTGCAAACAACGTGCAGCACTGCGACTATGTTGTTCTGCCTGCCGCCCCTCCACATGGCCCAAAGAGATGCTGCCTGAGTCAATAACCTCAGGCTGCCTCATTATAGGGAGAAGCACTGTTGCAGATAGCTGGAAGCAATGTAGTTGTTAATATGATCACTATGTGCATTACTCAAACAATCCCCAATGTATCCAGTTTGTGACTGTGCTGTCTAAAAAGTAAGCAAATAAGTGTCTCTGAATATAACAGATATTTTTACAACCATCACCTGAATTTTCTGATATCTGGATCTTTATTGAACTTTTGGGATGGAACAGATCACAGACTTTTTCCCTCTAAGTCATGCTAAGCCTTATGGGACTTGTAGTTCTACAACAGCCAGAGTGCCAAGGTTGTCTATCCCTACTCTGTTATCAACGCTATATATCCATACATCTGCCTTATTACAGTTTATCCTATTTATCTATATGTTCTCTAAGCTCTGCATCAATGGCTCCTTCTGATAACTGAAATATAGTATTTTATGAAAAAACACAGCTATTGTTTATGATATGCAATGCTTTAACGAACTACATGTTTTTTATCTATAGTTTACATATACATTAAACCTATATGGTTATTGATGAGCTTTTACACTATCTGGTACATTATGAATTTTAGAAAAGTGTTCATTTGGAAAAAAAGTTATTGTAAAATACAAGTCTGAAATGCTAGTTTCTTCCTAGCCATTTGCTGCTTGTAAGTGTTTTTTTTATAGATCGGTCTAAATATTTTACTTACAGATATATGATAATTATTCAAAGTTCTGTCATGTATTTTACTTCACACTTTTTACAGAGTGATTGTGAGTGCAATAATGGATTCCGCGGTGATGGGATTCAATGCGAGTCTGTGAACACTTGCCTAGAAGAGAAGGACAAGTGTCATGCACTGGTAAGCTTCTTGAATGGAAGCCTGTAGTGAGAGAACATGAAGGCTGCCATTGCTGAACTCTTTGTAAAAATAAGAGCCTGGCTAGGAATGACTCCGAAAGGGTTTAAACCTGGCTGCCTCTGGCTTCAACCCTTTCTGAGTCAGCACACTGTATCCGCATATTGGTTTCACTGACGCCGAAAGTTATGAAGCCATTTGTTTAGCATGACAACCAGGCAACTAGAATTTTCAGAAGTAGGGGTCAGCAGTAGCATCCTATATAGACCCTTAGTTCCAGGTTCCTTCAAAGATTTATAGAAAAGTATACTTGTACACTTTGTGTTGATTATAATGAACATTTTAATGTGAGTTTTTTTGGCGTGCCACTTTTAATTTATATTATTGTAATAGGGCAGTCTCCTTTATTTGGGTTGATATTTGATCCACCAAACTCCAGACCAGAATCCCATTAAAGGAGAACTATGAGGTTAGTGCTTTTCACTCACCTCATAGTTCTAGCCGACCTGTGACAATGAGACTGTCACAGGTCTGCTCAGTAGATCGGGAAGTGAGCGAACACATACCGACGTTCGCTCACTTCTTGATCCTGTCACGGCTCTCTGCCGTGACAGGGGAGGGACTGGATTCCACCCTCCCCGCTCCGATCCTCCATCGCTGACTGGTGGAACGGACGGGGGAGGGGGCGGGTACAGCTGGCTCTGCCTCTACATAGGCACTCACACATGCAGCTGGGCGGATCCAGACATAATTGTCGGGATCCGCTTCAGCTGCGGTGTCTCAGTATACCGCGAGCTGCAGCTCGCGGTATACTGAGCTTAGGGTGAGGGGAGGATGCTAGTTTGTGTCCTCCCGTTACCCTTAGGAGAACTATGGGGAAAAGCCCTAACCCCATAGTTCTCAGTGGGTGCTGGTATGACCTGCAGATGGCGATGCGTAAATTACAAGAATGTTGAAGTCTCCCACACTCCAAGGTCAAATATGCTGAACGTCTTTGTATTAAGACACTAGGCAATCATGGTGACACAGTGCAAAAAGCAATGTTTTGGAACTGAACATAGTCCCTTCATCAGGCAAACACGTTGCTTCTTGCACTGTGTCAACATGATTGCCTAGCATCTAAAAAAAAAAGACATTCAGCATATTTGACCTTGGAGTGCGGGTGACTTCTTCAAGATCCTTTATATAGGGGTCTCAGATATAATTTTGTAATGTCCGTAGTTTGGTTAATGTTGGATGTATCCATTTTGTTCTGTGGTGCATAATAGAATATATTATAAACGGCAATCTCCGTGTGCTAGAGAACGTGGTGGGTGGAATACTAATACATGTGGTGTATAGCTCAATTCTGTTGTAATACAGAGTCATCAGAGTCATACCAGTAGAGGTAGCTGGCAGCCAGGCAACTAGAATTTTTCAGAAGTAGGGTTTGGGCTAGAGTTTTGGCCTCCAGAGAGCACACATCCACCCATGTCTACTGCATTCCTAGCAGTCACATACTGCATAAGGCTACGATTAATATGTATTATATTATATAATTATTATTATTATTACTATTATACAGGATTTATATAGCGCCAACAGTTTGCGCAGCCCTTTACATTATAAGGAAGACTTTACAATTCCAGTACAATTCAAGGCAAGATGCTAAGGAGGGCCCTGTCCGTGAGGGCTTACAGTCTAAAAGGGAGGGGCAAGTGATGCATTAGGAGGTATAGAATATAATATAGAATATAATTCTATTACAGCTCAGAGTGCAGTCATATAATAAATAACATTGGAATTCACCAATAACTTTCCAATATTATCAATAATCTGAGAAAAGTTTTGTTGATGGAGTGGACATTTTATTGGGTTTTTGAGTAGCGCCTCGCTGATAATAAAACAGGTTCAAGTCCTCCTTGAGCTTTTGAGCTGTTTTAAAGTCCATTTTAACCTGCTGAGCAGTGGGTTTATGTGGTCTCTGATGTGAGCTTCCGCATCTGAATGGAGTTTTAAAAACCGTGGAGGCCAAAGATCCATTTTTTCTTACGTTCAGCACACCTACCAATAACAAAATTCCCCTAAAAGTTTAAAACTCCTATAAACTCCAATAGATGAACCTGTTAAATAGGTATTTATGATGGTTGCATCACACAGGAGATGTAAAGACTGTCTGAATTGTACCATGCCATGTTTTTTTTTTTCTTGTTTCAGGCTACATGTGAGAAAGTAGCCTCAGGATTCTGGGATTGTGTGTGCAAAGAAGGATATCAAGGAGATGGGAAAATATGTTATGGCAATGTTGCTGACGTAAGTATTTTCACAATCACACAGTAAAGTAACTACTGTGCTCACTGTATAAGCTTCTGTTCACACCTCTGTGATGCGACATCGCAGAGATGCTGCAGGGTGCATTGTGGGAGGGTCAACCCATTAATGTAATGTAAATTGCACGCAAAGAAGTATAAGCACCTATTAAAAACAAAAAAACATATTGCATCACACCACATTGCATGGTAATAAGTTTCCATGTGATATGATGCACATGCAATGGCTAGATGCCTTGGGGTGCCATTAAGAAAGAACATGCAAGACAGCATTGCTCCCACATCACAAAGATGTGAACAGAGCCTAGGTTTTGTTGGTTCTATAGTTATTTGTTGCTATAGAAACCAGTCCTTAGCAGTGATTGTTTTACTATATCTTATTTATTTTATTATATTTCTAGGTGATTGCATTACTCCCACAAGCCTCAGAGTTTCAAAAGTGGATTGAAGTAAGTATTAGATGCTAAATAATCCTAGACAGTTTTAGAGTTGTATAAGCAAGGGAGGGAAGTCACTACAAATAATGTGGAAGCTGAATGCATAAACTGATTAACATTATTTATAATGCCCTTAGGCATACATATTCAGGCTTAATCTGCAACGTAAAGATGTACTCCAGACAAATATCTAAATACATAGGTGAAATACATATGAGAGCTGTTTTACCTTGCAAAATTATTTTTTTTTCTATCCATCCAGTCCTGAACTTTACTCACACACAGCCACACAATACAGCCCTATCTAGCCGGGCAGGGGACCTGATCTTCCTCTGCTGCAGCTTCACTTTCACTAACAGGACTCCTCCCCTTCCCATCCTGTGACTGGACAGTGAAATGAGAAGCACCACACTGATGAACTCATCTCTCTGTCACTCTCTGCTCTGTTTCTATCAGCATGCTTCTTGAAATGCAGCGCATCCCTCTCTTCCTTTTTCTGAACTCTGCTGTTCAGGGATTGCAAGAGGCTGATACCAAGTTCAGGTATTTAGACTGCTTGCTTTAAAAAAAATAAATTTAGGAATTTATTAATGATTACAAAGCTGCATTATTTTGTGCCTTTTATATCATCCTGGATTTCAGCTTTAAGGTGCTGCAGAAACACAGCTTTGATTCAAACAGTAGATAATCTTGAATTGTCACCCAGAACAGAAGACTACAGGCATAATGTATTAATGTATATACTACAAAATGGAGGTATTCCTCCACAGCCACCAATCAAATTTGAACATTCAGGGCATTATGCTAGTTAATGGCTGAGTAGAAGTAACTCCAGTTCTTAATAAGAACACATTAATACATATAGCCAATTATATATAAATACTCAACCAAATATGTTATGTTACTGACAACAATTCTGCTTCCACAGAGAGAACAGCCACATACATAACCATCCTTTATTGAGATAAACGTCCAAAAAGGTTGTCATAGGCATTGTGCAACGCCTTATTATACATATTTGGATGCCACCCCAATGTAACTATATTTTCTTTTACAGGACCCAGTTATAAAATCCTTGATTTCACCATCTTCCAATGTAACTGTGTTAGTCCCATCACAAAAAGCATTTGAAAGTATGAGCGAGCAAGACAAATCATATTGGATGAAGAAGGATAAAATGCCAATCTTACTAAGGTAAATCCACAATTCTGATATCATGTCTATTATGTTTCATGTCTTTAAATTCATATATCTCCTCCCCTCATTGCTAATGCAGTCAGATTTCTTTGTATTCCTTATTACCTCTTTAATGTGGAAGCATGAGGAAGTTCCTGCAGGAACTTTGGATGCCAACTTTGACAAAGTAATTTCACAATCCTGTCGTTATCTGCCTGATTTAACTAAAGGAGTAGAGCATGTTCACTATGCGAATTGAATTTTGGTGGAAATATCCAGTTGCTTGCAAGGAACTTTGTAAAAACAGCATTTTTGCTTGCACATGATTGGATGATGGAAGTCAGCTTGGAGGCGAAGCTCTCCTAAGTGGAAATTCCTTTACAAAGCGAAAGTTCGCTATGCAAAATCAACATACTTTACTTCTTTAGTAAATCAATGCTATACTTTTATTCTACAATGTCTTTTTGGTGCCTTTGATTCACCAGAATTATATTTTAATTTCACAGTATTATAAAAAGTGAAAGAATAACTACCCTACTAAATGTTCCAGCCAGTAACCTGTCTACTTGGGTTTCAAGCAAGAAAATGTTGTCCAAAGCTACAAATATAATACAGGTTCTGGCACACAGCTTCATGTTCCGCTAATATGTTTCAGCCACACATGGCCTTAGTCATAGCTAAGACTAAGGTCATGTGTGGCTGAAATGCGTTAGGGGGGTGAACTGTTCATCTGATATTTAATAAGAGATTGGAACATGGAACCTGTATTATGTTAATTGTTTTTCTGAGGCTTATGGAACCTTTCCTGAGAACCAGTGGTTCCCAGTACATGCACAATATCTGGCTACAGGTTGAGCAGGTTTCAAATGCTGTTTTGTGTTGTCAAAATCTGCCATTTTCTAGCTGTAATCTGATAGTGAAAGTTAATGAAGTGAAAGTGACCATGTGTAACTGATGAGATTAATGTTAATTTATCTTGATCTCCTCTCCGTTAATGCTACAGCGACCAGTCACAATTAATTGTAAAATCAGTGCCAAGTGAGGCAGCAAGCTAGTGTGCAGCAAAAGGAGGAATTCTCTGGAGTAACTTCAGGGTGCCAGAAGCTCTGGCTATAAAGACCAATGTAATATTACACCCAGGTTGCTGCCATCAGTTCTATACTTTACCAAAGTAATATTTTCATCCTTTTAGGTATCATATATTATCAGGTGTCTTCAGATCTGATGACATAAAGAACCTATCTTCATCAGACATGTTGGCTACCTCTCTCAAAAATAATTTTCTCAAACTTTCTAAGGATAATGGGGTAAGTTATAAAATGCTGGAAAGTTTTATGATAAGCCAAATATGTGTAATCATAAAATATTTATAGTGGAAATTGATTTATTTTTTCAATTAATTTTAATAGCCCAGTGTTATAAATATTATGTAGGACAAAATCACAGGTACATTTGTCATTTGCTGTTTACTAAAAATGTCATATTTGTTTTATTACTCATTGAACTGTTCAGTAAAAATGCCACTACTGAAAAGTCCAGGAAAGTTACAAGATCCAGCGCAGTTCCATCAGCTGCAGGCCAAGAGCTTTTACAGGGTTTATGGAAACTTTGAGATGCAATAAAATATCTGTTTTGGTTTTCAGTAGGGACAAATTATTCCTTGTAAAATGTAACACATCTAGTGCTTTTATAGCGCATCAGTAACTCACAAACTGATTTTACTAATGCTTTCCACAGCTTACGTCTTGGTCATCACTAAACTGTATACAGTGAGCGATGAAGGCAAACATAATGAAAATAGATTTTTGGTTTACATACACTTTAAATATACAGCAATATACATAAGAGTACATGTGTTTTATGAAAGTTCTGGACTGAAGAATATGTACTTTTTTCCTCTACTTCCAGAATGTTACAGTTGATGGTGCTAACTTTGTTGTTGGTGATATAGCAGCTGTCAATGGAATTGTGCACCTTATTGACAAGGTAAATTTCTTTTTTATTAGGCAGCAACAGAGTATCAGGTAGCTGCCGAAGTACAATTATGAACTAGCTAACGACATGTCACTGTGTAGAACTGTCACTGAAAACTCACAAGCCACGATACCAGGGGTAAGCAACCTCGACCCTCCAGCTGTTGTGGAACTATAAGTCCCGTGAGGCATTGCAAGTCTCTCATAGCCACAGGCATGACACCCAGAAGCAGAGGTATGATGGGCTTTGCAGGTTCAGCACAGCTGGAGTGCCAAGGTCTCCTACTCCTGCACTATACTTTTATGCTTACATCAGTTTTACATGTTTTGGTAAACACTACTGAGTTCCGTTTACGTATAGGAAAATCTTGTAATAAGTGTGGCTTCAGGGCCCATTCACGCCATGTCTGGAACATATGCGGTACGTTACATTTTTCTTCTGCACCAAAAATGCATCCCAATGCATTTGTATGTGGTTTTTGGGCTCTGTTCACACCAGTCCAGTCCGTTCCAGTGCAGGAAAAAAAATGCTGCATGTCACATTTTTATTGCACTGGAACACACCGGAACGCACCCGAACGCGTCACAAACGCATTGCACCGGAACACAACAGAAGCTATGACATGGAGCAGGAAGAGATTGTTTTGCATAATGACATTACCCCCCCAGAAAAAAATCGCACTGGAGCGCGTCACACACACATAACAGTTTATATTTGCAGAAACGCGTGCAGATCTGGTCCGGACATGGTGTGACAGGGCCCTAAGAACTGACCTGTATCATTCTGATTTGCTGATCTACATACTCATGCTCATCTGCATATAGCAAGTGTAATAGAAGAGGCCTGGGCTGTAGTTGTTAAAATTCTACACCCCCTTAATGGACACAATTTTGTTTATTGGAATACCATGCCTTTAACAGGCATACATATGGTAAAGAATTTAAATATAAGGAGCTGTGTACGTCACCTACTTATCATCAGCATGTAAGGGTGAGCTCTAACACAACATGGCTTTTCCTAATTTTGAACTAAAGTGGAACTCAAGCCAAACTTTTTTTTCTAGCTTTGGATAGCATGGAGAATGGCTGTCAGGATTGTATTGAGGTCCTTCCAGTTGGTGAGCACTGTCACCAGCACTGAATGTGATGAGAAATTCTAAAATTTAACATCTGCCACGCAAAAAGGAGTATAGTAGGGATACAGATTCCAGTAATAACAGCCTAAGGTGGGATTTGCCCTCCTTTGGCCACATGTCTCCTCACTTCCTGTTTCTATAGTACAGAAAGTAAAGGGGAATCTACCAGAGGTGGATAAAGACAGGAACAGAGATCTTCCATACTTCTATAGTGCTAAATATCTCGGTTATATGTATACTGTATATGTTTGTCAGGATATTACACATGTAAATAGGTATTTCTGCATTTTGCAGGTATTGACCCCAGAGCGGCTCCTTGCTGGTGTAATGCCTGATCTTATGACCAGACTTGATCAGATGCCGGATTATTCAATCTTCCGTGGATACATAATTGTAAGACATAAGTAGTAAGCTCTTTGGGCACTATGTTTAAACTGGCAACTGGAAAGGAACATGATGGTGTTGGCCATAGGAACCAATCAGATCTAAGCTTCCATTATAGCTGGATTCTTGATGGCAACAACTCTATGTTTCCTTCTTTGTTCCATATGAGGCTCATCCTAATCAGTTAGACTGAAATAGGAGAGAATGTATTACAACTGTTACAAGCAACTACCAGTGTTCCAATTAAATGTTCAGTAATACCACAGTAATGATTCTTTTTTTTCTTTTCTTTCAGGAATATAAACTAACTACATTAATTGAAGAATCAGAGACTTACACAATATTTGCCCCACATAATGATGCAATCAACACTTACATTCGTAGCAAAACCCCAGCCACTCTGGTTTGTATTTATGAATTCATTTTACAATGTTAAGCTGATATGGGAGCCATGCTCGCACATTGTGGCTTTAAAGTGGAAATTTGCCCTGAAATGACACATATGTGAGTAGGTATATTTTCATTGCAGAAGATACATACTATGAAAGGAATTGATCAAAACTGGACAAAATCTACAGCAGTTGTCTATGGCACCAATCAGCTTCTCTCTATAGTTTGTTCAGTTAAACTTTGAAAATGAAAGAGAGAAGATGATTAGTTGCAATGGGCAACTGCTCGAGATTCTGTCTGCTCCAGTTTTGATAAATTCCCCTCCCTGTCTTTTTGCAATACAGGCTTCTTACCGTCCTCCTTGTAAGATGGGTTAGAATGCACACTGAGCTGCACATGCGCTGCTCTATGTACTTTCTCGGCACACCTTTGTGCTGGAATAAATAAATATATATAAGGTACATTACACCATCGCAAATGAAGTGGTCAAAGAACTCAGACAAAGCAAAGGAAAAGATGATTGGGGGTGGCACTGGCAAGGGAGCTGGTGGACGTTGTATCACTCAGGGTGGGGGGGTTGTACCCGTAGACAAAATCTGGAGCAGCTGTGCATGGCAACAAGTTGGCATCTAGCTTTCTTTTTCCAAGCCTAACCAAACAAAACTAAGAGAGAAGCTCATTGGTTACTATGCGCAGCTCCATTAGATTCAGTCTGTTCCAGTTTTAGTAAACTGGCCCTTAAAATATGTTCTGACAATTTAAAGTCGTTTTTGGTAAGACTCTTCCATATTTTGGCTATTGAAATAAATATAGAAATTTGTAGATTAGCCACTAGAGGGAGCACTTGGTGTCTCAGTGCCCATACAACTGTTTAGATAAATATTGTTTTCAAATAATTGAGTGACTTAGTGGTTCTGCTTTACTGCTCCTTCCTGCAATGAAAGTCTATGTAGCACTGAGAAAAAGGAAGCAGAGGCTGCACACATAATGACAAGCTGCATATAGAAAAACTGTTTTTAAAATATGAACAAACACTGATTTAATTAACTAATCCATTTTTACATGTACACCTAAAAAAAGATTGAAATACTATACATTCTCTTTACATAAATCTGTGATGCAGCATCAGGGATTTTGTGATGGTAGATTTGTTGGAGAATAAAGATTCAATGCACTATTGGGAAATGAGGGATGGTATCAGGCAGTAAATATAGGAGAGAGTAGCATACCAGATGAGCAAAGCAGGGATGCAGATGAGAATGGTTTTTAGTAAGTTTGAAGCTAGTTTTAGAGAAATAAAATGATTACAGAAGAAAAATTATAACAGTAATAATATTGGTATGCGACTCTTGAGAGCAATAAGAGGTTAATAGCTATGAATGTCTCTCTAAACCATTGTATTGTTTGTTTCCTGATGGTATCAGGATGAAGACACCATGCGATATCATATCATACTGGGACAGCAGCTGATGAAGAATGACATGCATGATGGCATGCATCGGGAAACCTTGCTCGGTTTCTCATTCCATGTTGGCTTTTTTACGCGTAATGGCGAGGTAATGGCATAGAAATTGCAATATATTAAATGTACGTTCTTGGGTTAAGCTGTGCCTTAAATGGCTTTTTAGACCTGTCCCCTGTCCCTGTCATATCATACTGGGCCAGCAGCTGATGAAGAATGACATGCATGATGGCATGCATTGGGAAACCTTGCTCGGTTTCTCATTCCATGTTGACTTTATTATGTGTAATGGCGAGGTAATGGCATAGAAACTGCACTATATTAAATGTATGTTATTGGGTTTAGCTGTGCTTTAAATGGCTTTTTAGACCTGTCCCCTGTCCTGCCCTGCAGGATAAATTATAACATTGCAGCAATGGTGAAGCTCCAATGAGCTCTGAATAAATGCTATAATATACAGCAGAAGTTATAAAACAGTAACTAGTGTAACATGACAGTGTAAGCATCAATGTGTTTGTGAAGCTATTCTTCGATCTGTATGAAGGAAATAACCAGTGAGTTTTCTTTTCTTCCTTTAGGTCTTTGTGAATGATGCACCACTGAACTACACCAATGCAGCAACCGACAAGGGAGTCATTCATGGGATAGGGAAAGTTTTGGAGATCCAGAAGAACAGATGCGATATCAATGATACCGTTGTTAATATGGTAAAAACTTTTAACTTACAGCTGGTCACAGCAATACAATAATTACACGTCTGGTACTACTGATGTAACTATAGACATAATAGGTCCTTGCTGTTGTTAGGGAGCTCAGCTGCCCAGCGAACTTCATTCCTTAAATACATCATGGGTTAATATGTTCCTTTGACTGGCTACACAATAGAGCAGGCGTAGGCAACCTTGGAATGCTAGCTGTGATAAAACTACAAATCTTATCATGCCTTTGGAAGTCATATCTGTGGCTGTCATGTCTCATTGGAATTGTAGTTCTTTAATAGCTGGTGTGCCGACGTAGCCTACCCCTGGATAGGATAGAGTATCAGTTGTAATGTAATTAGGATTCAATTAGGGGGTGATTTGAATTTCTTCACTATGGGGTCTTCTTGTCATTTCATGTTATGTCTGGAGAGATTTCCCTTCACTCCCTTTCCTGCAAAGGGACGCAGACATCAGAAAAATAAACTGACAGCAGATTGAACCCTCCCCTACGCCTTTACATACACTTTAACTTCTCCAGGACTGGTGCTAGGGGGTGTGCACCCCCCTCCCTCTGCTGCCACCAGCTATCCCGGGCTCTGCTGTCCCCTGTGTGGCCCCAGGATCGGCACAGCAGGTCTGTGTTCTTCAATCGGAGGGAGATCAGCACACTCCCAGCAGCTGAGCTCACCTCTGATAATTGAAAGCGGAAGCAATGTACAATACGCCACTTCCAGTTTCAGGCTGTCATTTCTCCGGCTGTTGTAGCCGAAGAAGAAGCTGATGAAGCAAATCTCTGCTTCATTAGCTTCTTTAGGAGTCCCCAAGTGACATTAGGGGTCTTATAGACCCCTAATGTCTCCATGAAGACTACCAGTCACATCCTCTTTATCTATCACATCCTATTATCTTCTTAACGCATCCAGTGGTCTAATCACAGACACTCCCAGTTTACCTGCCCTGGGGACCTGATAATTTTTCCCGCTCATTATCTCTTTGGGGACAAGACCCCTCAGTGCCCCTGTGTAGTTCCAATGCCTCATGAGAAAACCACGCTGCTGAAAATGTGTCGCTGCCACCACTAAGAAGTGTCAACGTCATGTAGGCAGTGACGTGGACACCCGAAGAAGGATCCCTCCAGATGTAAACAGAAGAAGAGAGAAGACTTGAACCCATATGTCACGTGACTGTTGCTTTAGGTTAAAGTGACACTAAAATCAGGAGATAAATCTTAAAAATACATTCAAGTACCTCTTAACAAAAAATGTATCTTATTTGTGTGTCACTGGGCTGTAGATCCTCAAATCATCTCTGAATTGGAGCTGACATTGTCCTTCCTTCTGGAGGGTAGCTACTTTTGTTTGCCATTTTGTGTTGTACAGCAGCCACTGCTCCAAGCTCGCTCCTGTGATGGACTATAATTTCACGTTTAGTTTACTAATTTGTATTAAGATTGTAGTCAATCACGGGAGTGAGCTTGGAGCGGTGGCTACTTAACAACACACAGGGACCATGGGGAACAAAAGTAGCCACCCTCCAGAAGGAAGGACAGGGTCAACAAGAATTCAGAGATGATTTGAGGATCTACAGCTGTGTGCTATACACACAAGATACATTTTTGTTAATAGTTATGGTATTTGAATGCATTTTTAAGATTTAACTTTTGAGTTTAGTGTCATTTAAGTATAGAGTGCTTTTAGATTTTTTTTATGCCAGCAATTGTTAGGGGGTAGGGGGTCAGAGGGGAATCTTATTTTACCCAGAGCCGAACTTTACCTGATAGTCTTGTACTCTGTTAATGAACTGTATACAAGGTGTAGATCTGCTGTAAATACCATAGAAAAATATATTCTTAACAATTATTCACAGTACCTGCTTCTCTTGAGATAGTCCATATGCCGGTTTGTGTCTATTGGTTATAATTAGAGGTATAACAAATGAGATCATTGTCACTTGCTATTGTTTATATAACTATATGAGTGCACGCATCCTGGTGGACTTTAATCTATTTTTCTTGCATTGTCTGCTCATGGTATTAATAACTTGAATGAATATGTACAATGCTTGCAGTAAATGGAATCTCTTTAAATCAGACTGTTTGTGATCTATATATGTAAACCAACTCTCTATCTAGGTTTTTTTAACCATTTTTAACCATTTAAATCCGATATGTGATTGATAGTATTTTGTACATAAATTTTTCTTTCCAGAGTAAATGTGTAGACTGTTTATCTGCAGCATCAGCATGTGAAGGAAATACAAGCCCAATGGTAAGTGTACAGAAAATGTTAGCGTAGTGTTTTCATTCAATTGAAACGTTGTAGCATTCAGAGATGACCAAAGCATCTAAATACTCTTATGATGATACTATGTGGGGAATTTATCAAAACTGGAGCAGAGAAAATCTGGAGCACCTGTGTGTGGCAACCAGTCAGCTTCTATTTTCATTTTCAAAGCCTAACTGAACAAACTGAAGAGAGAAGCTGATTGGATACTATGCACAACTGCACCAGATTCTGTCTGCTCCAGTTCTGATAAATTCCCCCCTATGAGTAAAAGCTAATTTTAAAGTCGTTGGTAAATGACCCCAAATGGAATTCCCTATGAGCCAAGGAAATAATTTAACTCATACCTTTGGATTAAGGTACCCAGCACCAAGCACACCTGTTGACTGTCAGTTACAGGAAAAGCAAATATGCTTGATTAGTGGTCAGCATGGCTCCTAACTGTTTTTCCGATATTTTGCAGCCTGGTATAAGAAAACATTGTGTGTACTCAAGGTACAGCCTGAGAAAGAAAGTCTTATTCATTGGATGTCAGGTCTCCTGTGTTAGAACTGTAATTGTGAGTATACCTTATTTTTATTTTCATGTCAGCAATTGGTGCATGACACTGATGCAGATTTTTCTTTTAAAGGGGTTCTAAACCCTCCGGTTGTTTTTGCCTATATCTACTGCTAGCAAGCAGTAGATATAGGCAAGAAGTGTAAAAAAAAAAAAAAAGAAACGCTTAAAATCATTTAAAACTTACCTCGTTATCACCGCTCGTTCCCGCGACGAGAATCAGGAACTGCTCGTACGGCCGCAAAGGATCTTGGGGCGGGCGCCTGCGCAGTTCCGATTCTCGGCCGGGAGACGAGCAGAGACGCAAGGTAAGTCTATGGACGCGTGCACCCGCCTGCGGACACCGCTGGATTGGAGAGACAGGGCAGTCAGCGCTGGATCGGAGTGACGTCACACCGCTGGAGGGACAGATGAAAACATGGGGAAAGAAGAGGAAGATCAGAAAAAGAGACATCATTTAAGGTAAGTGCTAACATTTACATAGGGGGGGAGGGAAAAAATAATTTGCCTTTAATGTCACTTTAATGAACAAGTACAAGAATCATATGTTTTTTGTAACATAGTGAGTTTCTCTAAGACATTCCATCTCCAAAACAATTTGGGAAAATGGTAAAATTAGTCTAATTGGTTTGTATCATTAAAAGTTGAACTCCAGGCAGGTGTAAAAAATCCAAATGAATGCAGCTCTATATTCATGAATGCATCATTAAGTGTATTTTTTTTTTAAATGTAAGCAGTGTACACGAAGTACCTGAATGTGACTTGCTATTAGCCTCCTGCAGTCCCCCTATAAGAAAGCTCAGACTGGGAAAGGGAGAGGTAGCACAAGGAGCCAGCCAGTTGTACCACAAAGGGGACATGCTTATAGGAGGAGAAAGCAGAGAGAGAGATATTAGCATATTGGTGTGCTGCTTTTCCGTTCAGTGTCCAGTTACAGGCTGGGGCACAAACAAGTGTTACTGAACTACAGCAGAGAAAAAGCAGAACTCCTGCCCTGCCAGACAGTAAATCTATAAAGTATTTGGCAGGTCAAACAACTACCTTATAGGTATTTATTTGGTGTATTTAGTTGCTTGTCTGTAGTTCAGCTTTAAAAGGTCAGTCCATCCAAAGCTGCTATTTAATTTTTGGTAGATGCTGGAGAGTTAAGCCACCTGAAAGTTCCTTATATCTCTTTAGGATTCTATTGGAGAGGTATTTGTACATGAATTCCTGGGTCTGCTCACCATAGTCATTATGGGGGCTCCTACTGCTTGTTGGGTCTGGTTTTTTTTTTCTACTGTGGTGAATGTAACAGGAGGTGCTAAAACACACAAAGGTAGGCAGGAACATTTAAACCTCCCAGGGGGGACAGAAACAGACTTGGAAATTATAACAAGGAGATCTCAAGATACATAAGGAGGTGACTCAGCCAACCACGCTTCACTTGCAGTTAACATCACTTGGGGCAGATGGACACTTTAATAGAGCACCCCATTCTACAGACCCAATAGCTCCATTGTCCAGTTCTAAGTACTTCAACCTCCATTCCTCTACATGAGAAGATTCTTCATAAACCATTGTCAGGAAGTCCAGGGCATTGATTTACTAAAGGCAAACAGGCTGTTCACTTTGTAAGGGAATTTTCCCATAGTTTGCAAAGTGATTTTCACCATATGCTAAAGAATACCCAATCACGTGCAAGGAAAATGAACATAAAAAAAGAATTCTGGGACACGAAGATATATTGGAAGTCGCCAAGCCATTGCATGTGCATTGCACCACAACACATGGCAACCTTTACCATGCATTGTGGTGTGATTTTAAAAAAAAAAAGGTTTATGTGCCTCTTTGAATCCAATAAGATGCAGTAGCCAGCCCATTCAAATGGATGGGCTGCCCTACCACAGCCCTTCAGCACACCTGTGATGCCACATCACAGTGATGTATGTGATACCTTAGAAAGTGACTGAAACTTGACTATAGGGTCTTGGTTGTGATATTTGAGAATTAATTCATTCCCAGTACAATGTAGCTAGATTGGTCTGTGGTGGCTTGTTTAAAAGCTATTCTACTACTTGTTAAGAATACATAAACATTTTAATGTCCATAATCCAGGCACAGGTGCATTGTAAGGTGAATTATTATAATGAGAGCCAGAACAGTAAACAAATTACTATGCGTTACATTTAGGGGTCTATTCACTAAGCTGCCGAGGGCAGTCGAGTGAATGACCGATCTGAAGTTGTTCGGCTATTCACTTCAGGCTGGTACGGCTGAAATCAGCCGTACATGATGTATCGGCATTCGGCTCGGCTGTTCTGCTCGGTCCATCAGAGGGACCGAGCAGAACAGAAAAAGAGTGAAAAAAGTAAAAAAAGTAAATAGAAAACGATTGTGCGGAGCTAGCAGTAGCAGTAGTTTCCTATTGTCCGGCGGCTCTGCTGCTGTAAAAGAAAAAAGAAAGAAAAAACTCTCCCGGGCGCTTTGGGAGCCTCCCACTCTCGGCCTTCGGCTCGACTGAGCCGCTCGGCCATGATCGGGAGCTGTACAGGCTATTGTGAACTGAAGGGGTCCTGGGGCCGAAGCTAGCCGAAGGATCGGCCGAAGCTACGGCCAGATCTTTCGGCAGCTTCGTGAATAGACCCCTTAGTGTACAGCTACACAGTGCAAACTAAAACGTATTTGAAGTACATGGAATAAGAAGTCTATTTCCATGACATGGCATATGAGTGAAATTTAGCTATATATGTACATATCAAAGACTTTGCACTTTTTATTCTAATAGCTTTCCTGTTCCTGGTGCTGCAGGACGTGTTTACACTTTAATCACATGAACAAAGACAGGACACTTGTTAGGCCAATGTTGTCTGTAATGCATGATTTTAGATTTTTGTAAGCCCCCCTAATCTTATTGTTTCATTAAATGCAGACCAAGGAGTGCTGCTCTGGATTCTATAGCCAACAATGCCTGTCTTGCCCAGGCAAATCTGGAAAACCATGTTTTGAAAATGGGAAATGCCTTGATGGTGTTAATGGCACTGGAGTATGTCAGTGTGATGAGGGCTTCACTGGAACGGCTTGTGAAAGCTGTGTGACAGGGAAATATGGACCACGATGTGACCAAGGTACTTTGTTAATATAAGGTCATATGTAATGTGACATTACTGGTGAAAACTGTTTTACACGTATATGAAACATAAGCGACAAACATTTAATTCAAAGCAAATTGATGCAGCGCATAAAATTAAAAAAGATCTAAACTCAATTACCTTAATCCCATATTGTATGAACTTTAACACTTTAATGTCATTTCAAAAGCTTTTTTAAATTATTTGAAATCTTTAGCTTTTAATAAAGGAATCACTGATGATGCCATGAAGGTCCTTGTTCAGACAACTTCTGTTAAGGTTGGTCATTGTCACGGGTGGAATGTACAGGTGGCCATTCCTACACATTGCACAGGTCCACTGTTGTCATTACCAGAACGTCAGTCCAAAGCAATGATGTGCAACTGACATTAGAGCAAGTATACGTAGACAGGAAGTGGCTGAAAGATAAGATTGCCAGATTTTCAAAATGATAGGTGGGGATGGCCTACCGACCACTCCCACTTTTAACCATGCCTTCCTCCATGTGTAACCACACCTCTCAAAATCACACTCCAATTTTTAACAGGAAGTATGCCTTAAAGGTATAAAGAAGAAAAATGCTATGTGCATACAAAATGTTGCATGTAGCGCGCCACCTGTTGATTAATGTTATGCACATGCAATGTCAGGCTTACCCAATAAATTGGGTGTCACTTCATTGTGCATGGCTTGTAGTGCAAGAGTAAAATAAGCCCCAGCATCAGTGCCATTGGCAGCAATCATAACCCCCACCCCCTCCTGCCAACATCCATGTATGCCTTAAGCCACAGCTGCAACTCATCACCCTGTCCAACTGGTCCCCCATTTCTCCCAGTCTCCCACATCCTCGCCTGGATATGCATGCCACCCTGATAGCTTTTTTACCTCTGTCCTCACCTGCCATGATGTACCCAGCATGTCAGAGTCCCTCTCCCCAGTCTACTCACTTTTAGTGTAGACCCAGTCATCAAGCCTGCAGTTCTGGTAATTGGGTTGCCAGAAGCTGAAGAGAAAACAGCAGCCAGACACACAGCACAGGAGATGGAAGAGGCCAAGAACAGAAAAGTCCCAGTACCGCTTTAGTTAAAGGACTTTGTGGTGCTGGAGGACTTGGTCATGTGGTAGTTGACAGCCATGGAATGGCTGGGCCGGGTGTGTCCTCTAGGTTTCCAGTATTGTAAGACCACTATAATACCACAGGCAGGCCTGGCTCTTAGGTATGCACAGCCACAAGGGACATTTTCAGGGATGCTTGTTTTCAGGGGGTAGGCTACTCCAAACGAGGACTGTCCCGGGGAAACGGGGACAAATGGTAACCATAATGAAAGAGTCTGGAAAAGATCAAAAATAGTATTTCATGGGTAAACGTTAATTTTCTTTCAATTTACAGAAGAAAAATCCACATGGAATCCTAAAATGGTTATAAGGTTCTGGACCTACTACAGTGACATATGTTTACATATCAATTAGCAAATATCTCTGTAGAATATTAAATTAAGTTTATTAATAACTGATTTGTTATAGTTAATAAATTGAGATACAGTATTAGTAATTGATTTGTTGTTGTGTTTAGGATGTGCCTGTGTCAATGGAAAATGCAGTGAGGGGATAACTGGTGATGGCAGCTGTGAGTGCAATGTTGGCTGGAGAGGAGTTAAATGTGACACAGGTAAGTTTAAAGATGGCAGTCCCTTATCTGCAGCAGCCATGGGAATATTTAAATGCTTTACTACTATGATCTAAGTAAGAATATACATGCCCATTGGTTTTATTCTAAATCAAGGTTGTTTAGTTGTCTGTGATGAAAACCCTTTGGGTGTCTGTACACCCCACCATGTTAAACACCATACAACATATTATTTCACAGCCATCTTCAACCAGAGCCAGTGCCATTTAGCATCATTTTTTTTAAATTCTAGTTTTATTAGAAGAAATTGGCATATATCATTGTGCATCTTACGTTCTCGTCTCTCTAATATCTTTCGTTGTTTATGGGAGGGATACATGAACTGAACACAATGGACATTGTGCAGTTGATCTATACTGAGGATTTCAGGTTAGACATAGATGATGTCTCACCTTGATTCAAATCCAGCCTGCAACCTAGATGGATGCCTCAATGCAAAGAGTTTGCAATTATTCACTATACGTTTCTGAAAATAGATTTATACTATGGCACTTTGAACGTGCTGGCATGTGTACAGGTAACAGCTGTGGTGCTATACAAGTCATTATAGAAAGATTGCATTAATGGAATATATACATAACCATATACATCTATTCCATGTATTGTTTGTGATGGTTTGTGGTACTGTTTATATATGGGATATATCTTATGAAAATATTTACAGCTTGTTTTATTTTTTTCCTTACAGCAATCACAGACGATAAATGCAGTAAAACCTGTCACACCAGTGCAAAGTATGTTTTTTCTTTTTTATTTATTATTATTATTAAATCCTAATGATATATTATTTACTTTGTGGTGATATATATACATTGCCAAATCCCCAATCAAAGATCCATTTTAAAAGATAACTTTTATAACCATCTATATAATGGCAAAATTTGCAGTAGTGTATAAAAATGTTAGTCTGCGCATAGGGAAGTTTTCCCCTTAATTGGGCAAACTAGTTAGAAGCCAATAAACCTTTCAGATCCTAAGTGGTTGGTATAAGTTACTGCACTCTGCACATTAATGTTTTCGGAGCGGGGAGGGGGGAATCCAGTCCCTCCCCTGTCACGGCAGAGAGCCGTGACAGGATTGAGATGTGAGCGAACGCCGGTATGTGTTCGCTCACTTCCCGATCTACTGACAGTCTCATTGTCACAGGTCGGCTAGAACTATGAGGATGAGTGAAAAGCACTCACCTCATAGTTCTCCTTTAAAGTTCTTCATTAAATAAGCTCAATCATTTTCTATACTTAGATATGGCAGTAATTATTGTTATGCTACCTGTCATCTTAAGGTAAACCTTTCACAAAGCTGGCCAGTACAAACTGAGCATTGGGTGATAAATTGCATTAGCAAAGAAAACTACATGACAATCAGTAGATCCAAAGAAATGGGCAGCTGCAGGTATATGCAAATCTCAACCTTTACTTAAATGTATTGCTTTCTCTCAACTGATACTCCCTATTGGTTAACAGGGAGACAGGATTCCCATGCCAGTATGCTTACACTACCACATGGAACTGTTTGTGTTATATAACTTTGATGAGTTAGCCCCTTATAACGTTAGACACTTACGATGACAACCAGTCTGGTTTGTTAGGTCATTCTGATTTCTTCTATTCTGTCAGCTGTCTTGAGAAAGCAGATGGTACTCCTTACTGCCAGTGTGCCTCAGGATTTGAAGGAAATGGCACCACCTGTACAGGTCAGTTTAAATCCTCCATTTAAAAAAAGAGTTTATAGTTGATCCTGGAACTGCAGCTAAAATTAAATCGTTATAGTCCACCCTGGGGAAAACTTTTTTGTAAAGCCGGCTATACACAGCTCATATTTCAAGCCGTGGGTGGCCCGACACCCCCCGGCTTGACAAACTTAGATTGAAAAATTAAAGGAGTGGGTGAAAACAAGTTGGCTGAACAGTGACTGCAGTCATTCAGCTGAAGTCACTGTTCATGTATCCTGCGCGCTTTGGTTGCGCTCTGTTAGAATACAATAGCTGGAGCCATAGATTTGTCCATGGACACGGGGGAATCAAGGGAAAACATGAGCTGATTGAGAGAAACCTTTACGTGTATGGCCTGCTTTAGTTTTGAATAGTTCAACACAAGTTGCCTCTTACCTTTTCTTATGTGATTACTGCAGAAATCTAGTAATTCAGCAACAACATAACAAAAGTACCATTTTCTTTTTACTTTAGCTGTTAATGCCTGTGCAATTAGTAATGGTGGGTGTTCAGTATATGCTGAATGCAGAAGGACAACCCCAGGAAACAGGAACTGCATATGTAAACAGGGCTATGCCGGAGATGGAATAGTGTGCCTTGGTATGTATGTACAGGAACATAAGCATTTATGTTATATTTATTGTGGATTAAAGACATAACCAGAAAAGTTGTAATTTGCATTTAAATAAAAAGTACAGCAAGTGTCTTCTTTGCTATAGTTTCTTGCTTATGTATAAACTCAAAAGCAATTGGAGGAGTTGTCACAAATATGTGTGTGTGTAAAATATATATGTATATATACTGAATATGTATGTTTAATTTCAAATTAAAACTCAGGATGAATATATCTCAATGCTATCTGCGTGATATGGTCTGCTTTACAACCTGTTATTTTATTTTATTTTTCCTATTAGTAACTCTGTAAAACTGGCTATTGTCTCTTACCCTAACACACTACGCTTCCGGTAAAATGATTGTCAAGTTCCATTGAGAGGTTCCATCACTGTATTGTTATGCACTGTTTGGCCACATGCCCAAATGCGCATATTGCGCCACGCTTACTCAAAGGCACCCCGACCAGGGGACCAACTCTCCCCCCCCCCCCGTACCCCTACGTCTCCTGTCCCCCCCCCCCTTTACCTTGGATATCGTATGTAGTGTGATTGTCTTAATGTATGCTCACTGTATTGTATGTATGTCTTTTGTTATATTCTGAAAACTTTCAATAAACATTTTAATATGATAAAATAGCCAATAGCAGTCTGGCTATTGCTCCTGGCTGCTTACATCCGCCTGTGCAAGCTAGCTACCAGGAGAAGGGAGCCGCACGGAGTGGGATTGGGGGTTGCGCCGTGAGAGGGGGCTGATGGGGGGTGCACGTAGCTGGTCTTGCCTAGGGTGCAAAATAGTCTAGTACCGACCCTGTATGTACGTATGTATATACTGTATATACAGTATATATATTAGAGCTGGTAATTATTAAAATTGTCCTTTTCGATTAATCGAATTTTTTTTAAATCAATTAATCGACTAATTTCGATTCATTATAACGCACATACAGAGGGGGGTCTCACCAGGGCTTTGAGGGGCTTCACCAGGGTAGCAGGGCTCTGTGGGATCTAACCAGCCTTGTTAGAACAACAAGAGGGCACAAAACTAGGTCAGCTGACTGCCTGGACCGAACATATCAGGGAAGGTGACAGGAACAATAAATATATATGTATAATGTACTTACTTATGTGGGTCTGGGAACCAGATGTGAACCGGCCTGTGAGGAGGATGAGGATGTCCAGAATGTATGTTGAATGTCGGCAGCCTCAGGCAATATATCAGCCGCCATTCAACATACATTCTGGACATCCTGATCCTCCTCACAGGCCGGTTCACATCTGGTTCCCAGACCCACATAAGTAAGTACATTATACATATATATTTATTGTTCCTGTCACCTTCCCTGATATGTTCGGTCCAGGCAGTCAGCTGACCTAGTTTTGCGCCCTCTTGTTTTTCTCTTTGGTTTTCACATCCGATGCACTCATGAACCAGGAGACTCACCGGCCCAAGTGATTCCGTTCAGGTAACGAAGGGAAGTGGGAGGAGTCCGGTGACGTCACGGACATCGACGTCAACGGACTCCTCCCTCCTTCCCGTCGTTACCCATCACGGACAACTACACCACCCGACTCCTCCCCCCTTCCCTTCGTTAGCCGACAGAGCCACTCGGGGAGGGGGGGAGGAGTCCGGTGACGTCGATGTCCGTGACGTCACCGGATCTCCGACGGAAGACCCGGAAAGCCGGCGGAGAGGTGAGTACTTTGATCGATCAAAGACATTAACGATTAATCGACGGATTAATCGTTAATTTCCACACCCCTAATATATATATAAACATTTTTTGTAGTTAAGGAGCTTAAGGAAGTATATATGAAACCGACATTAATGGAGAACCATGAGGTGAGTGATTTTCACTCAACCTCATAGTTCGAGCCGACATGTGACAATGAAACTGTCACACGTCGGCTCAATAGATCGGGAAGTGAGCGAACACATACCGTCGCTCGCTCACTTCTTGATCATGTCCCTGCAGAGTGCCATGACTGTCATTCATGGCGCCCTGCAGGGATTCCCCCCTCCCCGATCCTCCATCGCTGACTGGTGTAACGGACAGGGGAGGGAGCCGGTACAGCTGGCTCTGCCTCTAGTTAGGCAGAGCCCGCTGTCACTCACGCAGCTGGGTGGATCTCGACAGCATTGTCGGGATCCGTCCCGGCTGCGGCGGGCTCAGTATAACGCGAGCTGTAGCTTGTGGTATACTGAGCTTTGGGTCACGGGAGGGCGCTAGTTTGTATCATCCTCTTTAAGTCCAAAACGTACTCAGCTCAATGAAAATGTATTTTCAGTGAGCTTATATTTTGAGTTACTATTCTAGTGTTTACCTTAAACTAATTATTTGCTATGGCTTTCCCATTTTACAAGCTTGCTGTGCACTATTCTTGTTGTTACATTAAATATAGAGATTTCTAAATTAGAAACAGGGAGTGCATTGTTTTCAGTTAGTTGGAGAACAGACTTTCATTGTGATAAGGTAGCAGTGAGCAGATGGTAAGCGATTAGCATTTAATATATTTCTAGGAGCCAGACGTTAATCAGGTCAGAAATGAGGTCTAATTTTAATCCAGAAGATCCAATTTTATTTGTTATGCAGTCTTTAAAACAGCTGTTTTCTTATGTTTCCTAGAGATCAACCCATGCATGGAAAATAATGGTGGATGTGATCTTAATGCTGAATGTACCAAAACTGGCCCAAATCAGGTAAACACACCCCTTCAAGATATTATGAACCAATCAGAAAACAAGAAGTTGAGGGCTTAACATGTATTAAGTGCTCCACTATTGGTTACATAGTATATAGTTACATAGTATTTGAGGCTGAATAAAGACATTGGTCCATCAAGTCCAACCTATTAGGATCTCATTCTAGGAGTACCCGTACCCCTGTATATTACGGTCCCTTAAGAAATCGTCCAAAAGTTTCTTGAACAATTCCACATTATTTGCTGAAATCACCGCCTGTGGCAGTGAGTTCCAGACCCTAACTGATCTTACTGTGAAGAACCCCCTTCGCCCCTTGTGCTGGAATTTTTTTTCCACCAATTTTAGGTGATGGCCTCTAGTTTTTGTAACGGAGTTAATTTTAAACAGTTTATCGCTAATGTTGCTACCACCATTAAACATTTTGTACATGGAAATCATATCCCCCCTTAATCTCCTCACCTCTAATGTGAACATGTTTAAATTTATTAGCCTCGTCTCGTAGCTCTGGTCCTCCATACCCCTAATTAGTTTGGTTGCCCTTCGCTGGACTTTTTCCAACTCAAGGACATCTTTTCTTAGTACTGGTGACCAGAACTGGACCGCGTACTCCAGATGAGGTCGAACCAATGATCTATAAAGTGGCAAAATTATAGACTTGTCCCTGCAATACATCCCCTTTTTAATACAGGACAAGACCCTGCTAGCTTCCCAAATATTCCCAATAGGTTCCCAAATATTAAAGCAAAACAAGAATGCTGCTTTTTTTTAAAGAAGAAACAAGATACATCTCTTAGGCCTGGTTCACACCTAGGAGTTTTTGAGCAGTTTGAAAAGTGCTTTTAAATACCCAACACAAGAAATCCCATAATTTTCAATGGCCCTATGGTAGGTGTGAATGAAGCCCAAGATAGCGAGGGAAAGGATTCTGTCGGGTTTTCATTGCTGTCTGTGGGGATTCTCTCCCTTTTTCTGTCCTGGTGACACCATGGGGTTGAGTTGCTAGAGGCTTTGAAAGGGAATTTTCCTTTAGCTTAGTAAATGGGGTGAAAATTCAAAGAATACCCAATCATGTGGAAGGAAAATTAAATACCATTATTTTTTTCTTGCACATGAAGGATGTCCGCAGAGCTTCACATCATTCAGTAAGCCAAGGGAGAATTCACTTGCAAAGTGAACAGCCTGTTTGCCTCTAGGGAATCAACACCATGTGTGTCAGGGTGACACAGTAACAGGAAGTAAGGGCAAATAACCCCCACAGGGGACCCAGACAGCAAAAAAACTAGAGAGAGGTTTCAACCCTTCCCCACTCCTGGAGCTGGGGTAAGGCTGGGTTCACACCTAGGCGTATTGAATATGCGCGATTCGCGGTAAAAAAAAACGCGCGACAAACGTGCGTTTCCGTGGGCTACTTGGCTGTATCCCAATGGAAACGCGAGACCAAAACGCCCCAAAGAAGTACATGTACTTCTTTGGGCATAGGCCGTTTTGTATTGCGTTCGGACGGGCGGAAATACGGCAAGGTGTGAACCAGACCCATTGAATACAATGGGATTTAGATGTTTGAGCGTTTTGTAGAGCGTTCGTCGAGCGTTGAACGCGCTACAAAACGTTCAGGTGTGAACCAGGCCTAAAGTAACTTGCAAATAGCAAATTAAGGTAAAATAAAAATGTGGCAACACCAAAAAAAACACAGTCACTATTTTGCAGTTCATTGTAGTGGTAAATTATTGTTTTCTCTTTTAGTCTGCCTGTAATTGCTTACAAGGATATAGTGGAGATGGTAAACAATGCAAGCCTATCAATCCATGTTTAACTGTGAGTACGTTTTATATAATTATTTTGATAAATTCTATATTTTTTTACAGCTTACATTTTATTTACTTTTTTTATTGTCCTTAAAATATAAATGTCCTAGAGAGAAAAAAGTAATGTATTAGTCTGATGTCTGATTAGCATCTACAACAACTTTTAGGATGATGCTCAAGAAACAGATTTAGCTCTTACAACATTCCTATCCCTCGTAGATTTGGATATACTGATTATAGTAATGTTTTATTAGCATAGCTATTTTTTTATTATTTATGTATATGCAGGTGATTGCTTTATATGTTGTATACATTTCATACAAAATATTTTTTGTTTATGTTTTTAAAGAAAAATGGTGGTTGTAGTGAGTATGCCACATGTAACCATACTGGCCCAGCAGAAAGAACTTGTGCATGCAAGTCTGATTATATCGGAGATGGTATAACCTGCAAGGGTAACATCTATGAGGTATGTAGTCTACACAATTTCAATTTCATAAAAGATCTTTTAAACAATTACACAAACACAGGGTCGTAACTCCAGATTGTGGGAATTCACTGGTGACTTCTCCGTCGCCTCTGGCAGTGTCACCTGGGATAATACTGTAATTGATGTGAACATAAAGTGTGCCTCAATCACGTATAGATTGCAGAAGAGTTGCCCACCTAGTCAATACACGACTAGGAACCAGTGTTGTGAACATAAGTTCCAGGAGAAAGGAAGACGGCAGTGCAGGGAAGTACCTTTCAGCCCTAATATTCTGGTTTACTATTCTCTCTTAGCAGCTCACTGATTGTTTTTAGCATCATCTGATCTTTTTAGAAGTATAAGATGAATGTGCTGAACACGGTCTGTAAAAAGATTATTGTAGTAGCAATATTATTACCCGTAAGAATTTTATATGATAATACATAATTGATCTCTAACTCTTGAACAAACCTTTTTAAGCTATGACTTTTTTGCAGAATTACAGACCTGTTTTGTCAGTTTTGGGGAGGCACTTTTGGAATTTTTACAGCCTCCGGAAGACTGTTTTAGGCGGGGTTAATTTTACAGTGCTGTCTGGGCTGCAGCAGACACTCTGAGGGCAAAATATCTACTCCAAGATTGGGAAAAGACTTTATGACAGATAAATACTACTGTACAGAGAAAGAAAGGCAGAGCTGTGGCTATTGACATTCCCGACAATTCATCCTCTGTGTCTGAATTCAGCTCTTCTTTACTGAAACATTTCTAGACAGCCAGTCAGCATCAACTGCAGCCTCTCCAACATCTAATGATACAGTACAGGATCAGTGTTTTCTTTACATGAAAGTAGATTTTCAATACTTAATTTGCCTCAACAGCTGCCTAACTGGGACC